TGATGGAAATGCCATTCATCGATAAAATTTCTCATGTGTCGACACAATTTTTATCCGTTTAACTTTAGCGCATAAATTCTATATCGATACTTCAAATGTCGCAAAAAATTGTTTGGAAACACTTTTTGTTGAGAAAAGGGGCTTTAACACAAATAAATGTGGTGTCACATGACAGAATTAGCCTATAGGCAGCGTCCGTGTTCGTGGTGTTGCTCACGTTAAAGCACCGTTTCTCTGTAGTTCAAAAGCGCATTAAACCATATTCGTATTATTGTTTCTAAAATTATTTTATATATGGTAAGAAAAGGATGAGTTACCTCTCAAACATACCTCTCAAAAAATGCGTTGCAAGTTAAAATATATTCATTTTGTTCTGAAGATGAAAGTTGTCGAGTTAGTAATGCTTAACTGCGTGCGTGAGGCACTGGCACGATCACTTGATTTTTTTTAGTTCATTATAAAAGTGGAAACAACTTACAATACTCGTTCATTTGTGGTCATATTTTTTGTCGAGAAAAGGGGCTTTAACGCAAATAAATATGGTGTCACATGACAGAATTAGCCTATAGGCAGCGTCCGTGTTCGTGGTGTTGCTCACGTTAAAGCACCGTTTCTCTGTAGTTCAAAAGCGCATTAAATCATATTCGTATTATTGTTTCTAAAATTATTTTATATATGGTAAGAAAAGGATGAGTTACCTCTCAAACATACCTCTCAAAAAATGCGTTGCAAGTTAAAATATATTCATTTTGTTCTGAAGATGAAAGTTGTCGAGTTAGTAATGCTTAACTGCATGCGTGAGGCGCCGGCACGATCACTTGATTTTTTTTTGTTCATTATAAAAGTGGAAACAACTTACAATACTCGTTCATTTGTGGTCATATAAGAATAAGACATTGTTCAAAACTATTCTAAATATTTATTTTATTTGTGTACATCCACAATAAAAACAAACATTGTGCTTTTGTAAAATAAAGGGAAAAAACAGCATGCCGATTTCTCAAGAGCGCATCACAAAAATGAACCGAAATTCTGCATACAGGCTGCTACTTGTTGCACAGTTTTTTTTTCTTCTTTCGTTTTGTCAATTTATTAATTATTTCGAAAAAACATATTTCGCATATAGGCCTATTTATTTCTTTTATATATAGCTTTATTATGTTTTTTTCCGTTCGCAGAAGCGCTGCAGGTGCGTGACCATGTGAATCCTCTCGTTCTGTTGTTTATGCTGCTTTTAGCATGTATAAAATTAATCCCAGGAAAACTAATTTAGGCCAGACTCATTCTTCCCACTGGTCGCTCTTTTGCGATTAACTTTCTCAGTTGGCTGCACGAGCACGTGTTTTTTGTTTTAGTTTTTTTTTTTGCGCTACAACATGCTGTTAATCAATGCACGTTGATTAACTTTTATCGTAGTTTATAGTTATATGGAAACGAAAGTAGTATGTGAATCCTCTCGTTCTGTTGTTTATGCTGCTTTTAGCATGTATAAAATTAATCCCAGGAAAACAAATTTAGGTATTTTTAATGGGTCACAGCCACATATCAATTGAAATTAAATTTAATTGTAATTTATCATAATCTTGTCGGTTAACGGTTAATAATGGCTTAACGACCGTTGGTTGTCGGCTAGGAGAAATAAAATAACCGAAATGAACATTCCTATTTCCAATACAGTCAACAAGGCAGTTAACAAAAAAGTTAATCAGAAAAATAATAATAATACAACTGCACCTGCTTATGAATATTGCTCCGGACTGCTGAGCGAATCATTGGTACAACCCTCCCTTCTCTCCAAGAACTGTACTTATCCAGAGTGAGCAAAAGGGCTGGCAAAATCACTCTGGACCCCTCACATAGTCTAAAACAAAATACAAAAAAAAAAAAAAACCTCATGAAACTTGTTAATAAAAATTATTGTATGTAGGCCTATACAATTTAATAATAGGCTATATAATAAAGTTTTTGTTTCAAATGGATGAAAAAACAGGCTACTAGCCTATATAATTTGTGCAATAGGTGAAATTATGTATGGAAACAGCTCAAGGGCAATTTTTCTTGCAGTACACCAAAACTTATGCGACAATTCGTTTTTTTAGGGATGACGTCATCACGCACACCATTTTATCGGTAAAAGGCCAGTTGGATGGAAACAGACTGGACACAGCAAATTTCAAAGTTTCAAAGTTTTTTTTAACGCATATTCTCTTTATCGATAACAAAACAGCTCAAAAACTGAATGGAAACTTGGCTACTGTATGCGCGTGCTTTCCTGCACGTAAGCTTGCGAGCACCCTTCTGAACGCTAAAATGACGAATGGGACACCCTACGGTCTCGTGGACTTAACGGACAC